ACATACATACTATAATAAGTGAATCCATTAAATATGCACTGCTTGTATTTTAAAACATATGAGTAGCTTACTGTAAATATCTTAATAATTTTTCATTACTCTATTTTTAACCAACTTTATTGAATTATAATTTGCATGAAAAAAAGCATTCATTGTATGTATACAACTGAAAACATTTAAACAAATGAATATACCTGTATAAATAACACTCTATTCAAAATATAGAACTTTCATCACCCTCCAAAAGATCCATTTTGTCCATTGCAGTCAATTCTCCATATAAACTCCACTCCAGGTAACCACTGATTTGATCTCTGTCACTATAGATTAATTTCACCTGCTCAAGAACTACATCTGAATGGACTCTTACAGTATGTATTCTCCTATATTTGTCTTCTTTTCACTCAGGATAATGGTTTTGAAGATTTTTCCTGTTCTCATGTGTATCAATATTTCATTTTCTTTTTATTGCCAAAAAATGCCACAACTTATTTGCTCATTCCTGCTGATGGGTATTTGGATTCTTTCCATTTTTGGCCATTGTAAATAAAGTTGCTAAGAGCACTATTAATACAAGTCCATTTCTGGAAATATATTTTAACTTCTCGTGGATAAATGAGTAGGCCTGGCAGTACTGAGTAATATGGCAATAGGGTATTATCTTAGGAAGAATCAGTCTGTATTTCAGAGTAGTTGCACCATATACCATAGCAGTTCCAGCTTCTCCAAATTTGTGCTAGCATGCCTTGATATTACCTGTCATTTTTAACTTTAATCATTTATTAGCATGGTTACTTCATTCTGATTTTCATTTTCATTTTCTTAAGGACTAATGGTGTTGAGCATCTTTCCATGTATTGTCCATGTGTGTGTGTTATCCTGTAAATATACATGCATTCTGGATACCGATCCCAGGACTTGCATCTTGTCACATTTGTGAATATTTTCTCCTATTCTCCCAGCCTGTAGCCTGAATTTTCATTTTCTTCATAGTCTTTTAAAGAGCAGAATGTTATAATTCTGATGAAGTACAATATATAAATTTTTTTCTTTTACGTTATATTTCTTTGTACTCTAAGACATCTTTGCATGTCCCAAAGTCATGAGGATTTTATTACCTTTTTTTTTCTATAAGCTTACATTTACACATTGTTTAAGCTTTACAAAACATGCAAATGTGTTGCATGTCAAGTTAATATCTGTGTGTGTTATATAGGCTAGGGATGAGGCTAAAGATGACGATTCATGTTTTTCCAAATGGGCATCCAGTCATTCCAGCACTGTTTATTGGGAAGACAATCTTTTCTCCATTGAATTACTTTGTCACCTTTGTTGACACCTCATTGACCAGCTATGTGAGAATCCATTTTTTTGCTTTTGCTTTGTATTTTTTAATAGAAATGCTGTATGTATACATTATGTATACATCAGTGCAGTGTTCTATTTGAATACTTTGGCTATTCTAGATTTTTTGCATCATTTCTATATAAATTATAAGCAAGTTTATTGATTTCTAGAAAAAAAGCCTTGTGGGATTGATATTCCATTTAATCCATAGATCAGTATGAGGGGAATTGATGTTCTGAGTTCATGGACATGCATTATAAAAATTTTATTTAAGCCTGCTTCAATTCATATCAATATTGTTTCTAGTGTATGGTTCTTGCAGATACTTTGTTAAACTTATTCTAAGCATTTCATGTGTATGGATGCTATCCTTAATGGCATTTTTAATTACCATTTCCAGTTCAGTTGTCAAGATAAAATTGATTTTTTTGTATCTTGATCTTATATTCTGTAATATGTTTTAAAGCTATTTATTATACATAGCGATTTTTGTAGTTTTCCCAGGAATTTCCTCATAAATAATTACACTCATGTGGACAGTTTTGTCTCTTCATTTACAAACCTTTTTCTGGCCTTAGTGTAATGACTAGGAACCTCGGTACAATGTGGACTAGAAGTTGTGAATGAGCTCAGTTGCTCAGTCGTGTCCGACACTTACAACCCCATGTGCCAGGCTCTTCTGTCCATGGGATTTTTAAGCCAAGAACACTGGAGTGGGTTGACCTTTCCTGCTCCAGGGGTCTTTCCAGAAGTTGTGAAAGTGGGCATTTTTGCCTTTTTTTGCTCTTAGGGTGAAGGCCTCTAATATTTCACCTGGTGACTCAGGCAGTTAAAAGTCTACCTGCAATGCAGGACACCTGGGTTTGATCCCTGGGTCAGGAACATCCCCTGGAGTAAGAAATGGCAACCCATTCCAGCATTCTTGCCTGGAGACACCCGTGAACAGAGAAGACTGACGGGTTACAGTCTATGAGATCGCAGAGTTGGACAAACTGAGTGACTTTCACTCTCATGACATTAGCTGTAGATGTTGTATTTGCCATTAATCAAATTTCGGTGGTACTTTGAGCACTTTGAATATGTTGTTTCATTGTCAGTTGGCTTGCATTGTTTCTAAATAGAAGCAAGGATATTTTCTTATCTTGAACTCCTAAATAGGTCTCTTTTCTTTGTGAGCTTTACAAATTTTATCTTTATCATAGGCTTTCAGTGACGTGATTATGATATGTATGCAGCTTCCATCTTTACTAAATGTGGTCTCAAGTGCATCTATTAAGCTTTTATTATGTTTATCTGTGATAATGGATACAGCAGAGGAATTTAGAATCTTAGAGAAATTTATAAGGATTAATCAGGTATAAAAGTATTATATGGGTGTCAAAGTATTCTAAAAAGTTTCTAATTTACTAAAATGACTTCTCAATCTAATACTTTCAGTAAAAATGAAAATAATTCAAGCTTGCAATTCTAAAGAAACAATCCCCTTAACAAGGGAGAATAATACTTTTCATCACTGTCTGTTGAGTTAATTTTATTTTCAAATAACTATTGCGGACACTGATTTGGTATGTCCATTTGAAACATCTGAAATGGAAATCATCTTCATTTGTTTGCCAAATCACATTTTGTTATCTGTATACATGTTTATCTATTCACTTTAGTCCAGACATTCCTTGGGAATGCTCTTAATCATTTATGAAAAGAAAGTGTCACTGGTCTTATTTAGCAGAAGTCAATATATCTGCTATAATTTTCTCTTTGATGTGTGCATGTGACACAGACATACAAATGTGGAACTAATATCACAAGGTACAATACAATCGTAAAGAGGGTGTGTTATCTTACTGATAAGCATACACACTGTCCAGCCTAGATAAAATATTGTAAAAAATTATCTTTGTGCAATTCCTTGTACTTTTTGAAACACTTTCATATGTGTGATCTCATCTATTCTGTAGAACATCTTCATTAACTGATGGGTATATGAGTTTTGATTCCAAATGGTGTCTTTATGCATGTTTATGATGTCATTTACCACACAGTATTAGTTGTCCTAAGAAGGCAAGCCAAGATTATGCTTTATAAACATTTTTATTCCACATTTTCACTTTTAGTATTAGGCAGTTAAGAATTTCAGATCATTTTGTGGTAATGGCATCATCAAAATTTTTACTGTGAGTTTTCTAAAAGTTGGCCTACAAAAATGGACCCGTCACAATAATGTCATGACTTAGAGAATAGTTTGCTGAACTTCAATTTCATTTTTAAAATCTAGTATTTGATACCAGATGTGAAGAATGAATCGCCATCTCCTCTATGAAGAGGGCAAGGTTTAATTAGCTTTTTCAAAAGACATACATTTCACCTATAAAGTGAAAGAAGAAAATTATGCGTTTTAAAACAGCATGAAAGTAGAGGTGATACCCACAGCTGCTCTCATTTCTGACAAACAATTCTGAGAGGCTCCAGTTTCATCTGGTTCAGATGAAACACATGTTGCTCATTTATTGTACATATGCTTCAATGTATTTTGACAAATCTGATCTAAAAATGTTACAGATGTTCCTCATTATTTTAATTTGCACTTGGTAGCCACCTATAAAACTTGGCTGTAAACTAGCCTTTTCATAGTATAATTAAGAGAAAATTTAGCTATCATTAATATGTGAATTTCAGTTTCGTTTCAGTTACAGTTTTGTGATGCAACTAGTGAACTATACACTTAACAGGTGCTGTTACAGGTGTTTTATATATAATGAAGACAAATCTTTTTAGACATGTTTCAAATAATTTCAGGTGGAAATAAAGTTATTCTAATCCTGTCTTTTAGAGATTTGTTATTCATTGTATGGCCTGAAATCAAGCAGCAGTATAACTTGAGTACTTTCCAGAAGAGATGAGTCTTAGGTCTTATCCTAGACCTGCTGAAGTAGAATCTACATGTTAACACAATCCCCTGGTGATTTGTATGCACAGGAAAGACTGGTAAGCACTCTCAGAGGAGGCTTTGTTTCAAAAGTTTGTTTTATATGCATATATGCACATACACATGGGTCAACTCTATTCTGCACTCTGCTTTATATAGATACTATCGAAAATGGACTTGCTTGTGGATTGAACTATTTCTTTTCTTATTTAATACATTTAAAAGTAGACTTCCAGTATGTTCCACAGGTCTGTCTTCCATGAATACAAAAGTTCACATTCATACGTACTGGCTTACCACACGTTTTCAATGAGTGACACATGAAGCAAATTGAAGAACTTCTCAGTCCAATTTGAATATTTTAGAGTTCTCATCATTTCTTACTGTTTTCTCTAAATTTCTATAGAGTAAATTTTCTGGTTTACTTTCTGGCTGGAACATTAATGTATTTATTTACACACTCTTGCCATTAAAAAAAAGCAGAAAGCGGAATTGCTGGGAAAACTAAAGGATTTAATTTCTTGGGTGATAAATTCAATTTTTAAAATTATTTACTATTTTTGAGTACCTTGGGAAATGATCATATATTACTTATACTACATTACATTATTGTAATTATATATAATATACTTCAGTTAAGATAATCACTACTTATATCTTAATATGTGATACAAAATCAAATTTTTGTTTATAAGGACCTCTGAAATCATTCTGCAAAGTAACTCAATTCCTTAAAATTCAATTTTATTGGCCATTACATTTTCTATATGTATATTCCAGAAGAAATAAACATACTATGATTCTTACCATAGAAGAAATAAAATAATACTATTTTATGACCCTTAATTGAAATCTATGACAATAATTTCATATAGTTCAAAACTTAGCACATTGTTACTATCTAACAAAAGGAGGGTGAGTTATTTTCTTTAAAAAAATCTCTAATTTGCTAGGGTCTAGTTAATTTTTTGTGTGTTCAGTTCCACCAAATATACTCCTCAATAATCAGCCTTAGGAAATGAAATAAAGATCATTTTATGTAATCTATTCAGAAGTGTCTGTTGGCACCACAGCAGCACATCATGGGTTTTCAAACTTGAGACACATTACCTTTTTATTACTGTTTTCATACATTTCTGCTGAAAAAATCCTTCAAAACTGTTATTAGGTTGAATACATATCTGTGGACAAATACTGATACATTTAACCATACAATATAGTGGTACAGCTTGTTCCTGAAAACATACAGATATAGACAGGCTAGAAAAGTACCAGACAACTTCATATGATCAATTGCAGTGTTGAATTTTCCCTTCTGTTTTTTCAAGCTAAATATTACAGTGCAACTGAAATAGCCCTAAGTGTATCCGAAGAGCTACTGTGTGTTGTATAAAGGCCAAGTGATCCGGGGAGTGTCAGGGGGGCACTGTCAGCTGTTCGACATCATGGGATGGTATCTCAGCACTCATAAAACAGAGGATTCAAAACACAGGAGCTTACATGGAGGTACAGATCATTATGACAGTCCTGGAAGTCATCCACGAGAAAAGTCAACACCCTGGAGGCCAAAATAACACTACTGAATCAACACTTACAACTTTTGTTCAAGATTGAATCCAATATGCATGGAAAATTCACATTGAAGCATTAAGTATAATTTTATATTTGGCTCGTTCCCCAAATACAGAATGGCTTCAGAAATCTCTGGGATATCTCTTCTTAAACGATTTAAGTTTATAATATTCTGTACAAAACAGACAACTATTTTGAATTAGTTATTTCCTAGGACTATTCATAAAATGTAAGTTTAGTAAGAGCAGCATAGAGATTTACTTAAGGCTGTACATTTCAAATCAGAAGAATAAGGGGATAATTTTGGCCCCTGGGGTTTGAAAGTATCTTCCAGTTGTAATCTTTGGTCTGAATATTTACATGGTGGTTTCTTCCCATTCAAGCTCAACATCACCTATAACATAAAAACATGCCATAAGAGAGAATTGAAGTTAACAGTTAAAAAGATTTAAATGTTTCATGATAAAAATATAAGTACATGGAAAGGCTATTATCCTGACTTGGATTAGAGAGAAATTAAAAAATTGATATGTTTGCTAGCCAAGCTTCTAAACCATTTTCAGCAAATGGTAATTATTGAATTAATTCTCCTGTTATGGGTGGTAAACTCGTAAGTTGATATACAGTGCCTGTTTACCTTCCATGGCATCCAGAGAGTCCATCTTCTGAAGTGCTGAATAGTTAACAAAACAGATGAGCTGATTATTTCCTTTACTCGATAAGAGATCCAGAACGCACTGATGTAAAAAGATATACTGTGCCTGGACATTAAAGAAACGGTGGTTAAATAAATGGATGGGGGTGGGGATTTCTCTTAAAAGGAAGGGCTATATTTTTACAGTTAAAAGTAATATTGAATTCAATAAATGTTAAACAGCTAAGTTAAAGGCATACAATTCACCAAGTATATAAGTGATTTTCTATCATTTCAAACATAAGGTTTGCTAACCTCCTGTGGGGCTTTTTTGTAGCTTCCAGGTTTTTTTTTTCTTTTTTTTTAGTACTTGTCATTAAATACCAAGTGTTCATATGTTCTTTCTTGCTGTGATTATAAAAACTAAAAAAAATTATATTATTCAAATTTGCTTATGTTTTTCCTGTTAGGCATAATTGAGTAATTTTTCTTATACTTTTCTTGTTAGAATGGCTTTTGGAATGTAGTTGCTAAATTTACTTTCAAAATCTGTGACTGAGCATACCTACACACTGAAGGCACATGCAGAGTATGTTTAACATTTCTGTTATCACCCAGCATTTGGCCTACTTAATGTCAAAGATCTGGTCTCCGTAAATACAAGGCAGTTGACCACTGAGATATCCAAAGACTCGTAACATTTCATCTAAAGTTTGGAATAAATTCAGTACCACCTGAGTTCTTTAAGTTTATTCAATATAACTCAGTGACCTGTTAGCATTTCTGGGTTTGGACTTTTCCAGAGGTTAGTTAAGGTTACAATCATAGAAAAGCACCCTCATTTTCACATAGGAAAGGTACCTGAAGTTAAAGGAATATAACCCAATGCTTAAGATAACACATATACACACTAGCAACTGATTTAAATAGAATGTCCTCTAAGTGACCCTCTTAAGAAGTTATATTTATATCTATTGCTAACTATACCTCAAAACCTTTTTGGAATTACACTATTGAGATGCTCTTCAGAAGTTGCTGGTCGTTATCAGGAAGACGTATTTCTTCGTGGATGACAAAATGTTTCCACAGACGTCTCATCAGTGGCATGTCGGTTCTGTGAGGACAGAACTCTGTCATATTCACTTCTATATTCCCATTGCTTGTAATAGTGGCTGGAATGTGGTAGTTGCGTAATGAATGTTTGTTGACTTAGCCTCATTTAATTCTCACAGTTAGTCGATCTTTACCATTTAAGGACAGGCTTGATTTGGGGAGCATACAGAAGTCATTAGAAATCAAGTTTGTATGTAAGAAGGATGATCAGGTTACATAATTCAATTTTGGTGAGAAAGGAAGGGTTATAAGGGAATAAGAATTCTATTGAAATTGCTCTTGACATTCTTCTCAAGGTAATTCTAAAAGAATATTTAAAAATGTACATCACACAGTAAGTAGCATTATTAGCAGAAATATATTAACATGATATAATTTCTTTGAAAACAGCATTCATGTAAATTTATGATTTCCGTTATTTAAAAAAACACATTTGAACTTGAAGTCACATTTGATATGCAAAACTTCTGACTGTCCAGATCTCATCTTCTCCACTGGAAAGAATGATGGGTGTAAACTCTGCCAGCAGGGCAGGCTGAGCTCCACGGGGCAGTGCTACGTGTTCCAAGATCTCTCTGCAGTGGAGTGTTATTTCCAAAGAGTCAGTGAAGAATTTAATTCCAGTTTCTACCCAAGGTAGTCCTGTTACCATAAGAAGTAAATTTTTCTGATGTTCGGTTTCCTCATCTGGGGAATCAGAAAGGCTATGTTGTAAGTTAAGGCCAGCCAGATAGATAGACAGATCGACTTATCGATCGATCAATCTGACAGCAAAAAGAAAAACTAGGCACCCTAAATAATTCTTTTTTCTTCTTCTTCAGGAGTTTACATCAGTCAATTTTCAAGAGATCCAGAGCAGGAAAGGGATTTCATCCAGATTAACCTTATTTGAGGCAGGAATAGTATCTCAGGGTTTTATCTGATTGCAGAGTATTCTCTGAGAAGGCTCTTTCAGATCTCTTGGGGCTGCTGTGAACTGTGGCTTGGTACACAGGGAAAGAACTTTTGGTTATCCTTGCTTAAACCCCTCGGGTATCTTTCCATGGTGCTATGTCGCCGAGGTTCCCACCTCCCCATCCCTGGCCATGACTACTGCCGTCTGTGCTGATACAGCGTTCTTCACAGACTTTGGGATCATACCCAAGTGCAATAGGAGAAAATAAGAAACCACTCTTGTGCAAGGCAATGCTGATTTGTAAGGACTGGAGCCAAGGTGTGGTCATTTCCCTTTTTTTCAATCACAGAGAAAAGACAGTAGAGACCTTAGCTTCTGGGAACAAAGTCAGGTGAAAGACCGTTAGCTGTGCAGTACCATGTTTTAAGCAAGGATCCGAGAATTGCGATTTATATGGTTTACAGAGTGGAGGCTAATTATTTAGTAAACATGGATCTACCTTAATTTTATGACTTCTTATGGAAAGGGTGGAAGTGAAAGTGTTAATCGCTTAGTCGTGCCTGACTCTTTGCAACTCCATGGACTGTAGCCCACCAGGCTCCTCTGTTTATGGGATTCTCCAGGCAAGAATACTGGAGTGTGTTGCCTTTCCCTTCTCCAGAGGATCTTCCTGACCCAGGGATCGAACCTGGGTCTCCCACATTGCAGGCAGATTCTTTATCTGAGCCACGAGGGGAAGGTTGCCTATACTTTTTAGGGATACTGATGAAGATGTGCCTTGTGCTCAGTCGTGTCTGACTCTCTGCGACACCATGATTGTAACCAGCCAGGCTCCTTTATCGATGGGATTTTCCAGGCAGGAATACTGGAGTAGGTTGCCATCTCCTTCTCCAGGGGATCTTCCCCATCCAGGCATTGAACCTGTGTCTCCTGCATTGCAGGCAGAATCTTTACTTGCTGAGCCATCAGAGAAGATGAAGATGTATTTATCTCAAATATCCCAACTAATATTCATGACTTCTCCCTATTGATTCAGTGACTTTTATCAGGCTTTTAATGACCCGCCACCTTTTTATCCCCAAAAGCAGTGGGCACAACTATATTGTCAGACATTTACTGCATGCCGTGCACCTGCTGCATGCTTGGTGCTTTCAGGTACTTTCTTTTATTTAATACAATAAGATTGTGCAACACAGCTATTTTACAAAAGAGAAGTAACTTAGAGAAGTTAACTAAACAAAATCACAGAGCCAGAAATTAGCAGGACTGGAATCTGAACTCAATTCTCTGACTCCAAAATTCATGCTCTTCCCATGCCCCTACTCAGCCTACAACAGTTTCCCCTGGCTAGTTATTCCAGCACAATGTATGAAGTTTATAGTGTATACTGAGTACTAAATTGTGTGAAATTATTCACAGGCATTCTTGAACACACTTGTTACAAAGCTAGGTTTCATGAAGCTGTATAGTATGAGTATGACAGAATCCAACTTTTATTATTTGAAGACTGAATCTAGTCTCCAGAAGGAAAGAAATCTTACTCATTCCCATCCTTTAACTCATCCAGGAAAGCCAACCCATCTTGATCAGTGCCAAGAACATTGCTTACCATGTACACGTGTTCATCTAGGAACATGGAGGAAAACGTTACCTATTCTATTCTCATGTTTTAATAATCACTAATAGTTGTATTGATATTGAAGCCCTTAAAAGATCCCTGGATAAGAACCAGCTACAAAATTTGTGGGGCTCATTATGAAGTGAAAATGCAAGCTTCCTTCTTCAAAATTGGGGCTTCCCTGTGGCTCAGATGGTAAAGAATCTGCCTGCAATGCAGGAGACCAGGGTTTGGTCCCTACGTCAGGAAGATCCCCTGGAGAAGGGAATGGCTACCCACTCCAGTATTCTTGCCTGGAGAGTTCCAAGGACAGAGGAGCCTGCTGGGCTACAGTCCATGAGGTTGCAAAGAGTTGACTTAACACTTTTCCTCAAAATTAATAAAGATTTTCAAAACAGTGGCAGCAGGCATCAAATCAAGTGCAAGGCCCTTTTGAGGGTGGGGACCCATGAGTTTGAATAGACTGCATAATTGTGGAGCCAAGCCTGGCCACAAGTCACAGTCTATTTCTGAAGTTTTGTAAGGGAAGAGTGATGCTTCATTCATGTGTTCCCTTTCAGAATTTAAGGGAATGCATATGGATGACAGTACCTAGTTTTACTTAGCCATTACATAATTTAAGTGGCTTTAAAAGATTCCCATAAAAAGACTCAGGATTAAAGATATTATTTATCAGAAAAATACAAATGAATGACAAGAAAATGGTAGGACTAACATTTTTCATACCCCTAGAATAACCGTCTTATAGCCATATTAAGAGATGAAAACAACAATGTAATCAAATCTCTCAGTGAGCTAGATCACTTATAAAAACTATAAATAATTTAAAATATATATTTTAAGATCACTATTGAAACAGAATTATTTTATGCTAAGTATATATTTTATCTTTTGAAAATACCTAATGATAATATAAGTATTAGTCACTTTGTTGCAGTTCAGTCATTCAGTCATGTCTGACTCTTTGTGATCCTATAGACTGCAGCATGCCAGGCTTCCCTATCCATCACCAACTCCTGGAGCAAGTTTAAACTCATGTCCATCGAGTTGGTAATGCCATCCAACCATCTCATCTTCTGTCGTCCCCTTCTCCTCCCCAGTCATGTTCAACTCTTTGAGACCCCGTGGACTGTAGCCTACCAGGCTCCTCCATCCATGGGATTCTCCAGGCAAGAATACTGGAGTGGGTTGCCATTTCCTTCTCCAGGGGATCTTCCTGACCCAGGGATCCAACCCGGGTCTCCCACATTGCAGGCAGACGGTTTAACCTCTGAGCCACCAGGGAAGCCCCCTTCTTCTCCCACCTTCAATCTTTCCCAGCATCATATTCTTTTCCAAGGAGTCAGTTCTTCACATCAAGTGGCCAAAGTATTGGAGTTTCAGCTTCAGCATCCGTCCTTCCAATGAATATTCAGGATTGCTATCCTTTATGATTGACTGATTGGATCTCCTTGCTGTCCAAGGGATTCAAGAGTCTTCTCCAACACCACAGTTCAAAAGCATCAATTCTTTGGCCCTCAGCCTTTTCTTATAATCCAACTCTCACATCCATCATGTGACATGACTACTGGAAAATCCATAGCTTTGACTATATGGACCTTTGTTGGCAAAGTAATGTCTCTACTTTTTTTTTGGCCTGGGGGGGGTTCTTTTTTAAATTTATTTTTAAATTGAAGGATAATTGCTTTACAGACTTTTGTTGTTCTCTGTCAAATTTCAATATGAAACAGCCATAGATATACATATAATCCTCCTTTTGGGGTCTCCCTCCCCATCCCACCCTCTAGGTTTTTACAGAGCCCCTGTTTGAGTTTCCTGAGTCATACAGCAAATTCCCATTGGCTATGTATTTTATATATGGTAATATATATGCTGCCTAGGTTGGTCATAGCTTTTCTTCCAAGGAGCAAGTGTTGTCTTTTAATTTCATGGCTGCGGTCAACATCTGCAGTGATTTTGAAGCCAAGAAAAGAAAGTCTGTCACTGTTTCCATTGTTTCCCCATCCATTTGCATGAAGGGATGGGAAGCAGGATGACAATATACAGCCTTGACGTACTCCTTTTCCAATTTGGAACCAGTCCATTGTTCCATGTCTGGTTCTAACTGCTGCTTCTTGACCTGCATACAGATTTCTCAGGAGGCAGGTAAGGTGGCCTGGTATTCCCATCTCTTGAAGAATTTTCTACAATTTGTTGTGATCCACACAGTCAAAGGCTTTAGTGTAGTCAATGAAGCACAAGTAGATGACTTTTCTGGAATTCTCTTGCTTTTTCTATGATCCATGGATGTTGGAAATTTGATCTCTGGTTCCTCTGCCTTTTCTAAATCCAGCTTGAACATCTGGAAATTTTCAGTTTATATAATGTTGAACCCTGGCTTGGAGAATTTTGAGCATTACTTTGCTAGCATGTAAGATGAGTGCAATTGTTTGGTAGTTTGAATATTCTTTGGCATTNGAACTGTGGGGGAAGAATGAGTCTGACAGGCACCATCATAAGATAGCCATAGAACCAATATCAGAATAACAGGCTTCTGAGTACCCACCTGTTTCCTGACACATGGATAACCCAGGCCCATGCAGACTGACCTCTGCAAAAGGAAACTGACTTTCCTACCATTAAAGAGGATCCAGCAATTCCACTTCTGGTTGTTTGTCTGAAGAAAACAAAAACACTAGTTCTAAAAGATACATGCATTCCAGTGTTCATCACAGCCTTATTTACAATAGTCAAGATATGGAAGCAATCTAAGTGTCCCTCAACAGATGAATGAATAAAGAAGATACGATAAATACTTGAAAAAAAGTGAAAGTGTTAGTTGCTCAGTCGTATCCAACTCTTTGCAACCCCATGGACTGTAGACTGGCAGGCTCCTCTGTCCATGGGATTCTCTAGGCAAGAATACTAGAGTGGGTAGCCATTTCTTTCTCCAGGGGATCTTCCCAACCCAGGGATCAAGCCCAGGTCTCCTGCATTGCAGGCAAATTCTTTACAGACTGAGCCACACCATCACTATTAGCAAGGTTGTCATAATTGCTTATTTGACCTTTACCTCATGGTTTTCAATTCATTTGTGTATACTTTATAATATACATAATTGCCCAATCTACATTTAAAAATATATATGTATTTTTATGTGTGTATGTATTTGTCACTCTTTGCCACCCCACAGACTGTAGCCTCCCAGGCTCCTCTGTCCATGGGTTTTCCCAGGCAAGAATAGTGGAGTGGTTGCCATTTCCTTCTTTGGGATATCTTCCCCACCCTGGGATCAAACCTCGGTCTCCTGCATTGTAGACAGATTCTTTACCATCTGAGCCACCAGGGAAGCCCAGGAATTGAATGCTGAAATTTTTCTCCTGAAAGGGTTGTACATTTTGAAAAGTTTGGTTGTCTCTGATCTAGAGCCACATCTTCCTGAGAACATTAATGTTCCATGATATGGTGTTACATGTTTTGGGGTCAAAAGGGTTCAAGGATACCATAGTCATAGAAGTTTGGGAAATGTTGTTCACAAGGGCTCTATATTTATAAATGTCAATGCACATTAGCATAGAGGCTCTTAAGAAATTTTCTCAAACTTATTTTAGCAAAGAGCCTGTTTTCTCCCACCTTTAACGACTGTAAAGCCACTTATGTTTTCTAGTTGGTACCCTAGAAAATACCATTATAGAAGATCTGCATATTTACTGTGAGAAAAATCTGTGTAGTATAAAAATATCAACCCAAAGATATGAGAAGAACATCCTCGTATAATTAGATTGGGGTTTGAATTTTGGCTCTGACACTTATAACCATTGAATGTCACTTAAATTCTTGGAACATCTGCTTCCCTATTTGTAAAGAAGAGCCAGTTATACCTAGCCTATTGATTAGTTTCACTGGACCTGCTTTACAAATAAAGAATTAAATGAGATAATACATGTAAATGATCTAGTATAGTACCTGGAACCTACTAAACACTCAGTAGAGGGGTCTCAGTTTCATTACCATTATACTATGTGATTTCTTTTATGACAGAAATCTATATTTTAAAAATACCTTTGCTTCCAAACCAAAACAACCAAACAAAAGACTCTCAGATAGTTGATAATATCCTGTAACAAACATTATTAGTATTAATATACAAAAGGGATAAATATGGACAAGTGAAATACATAGACCAACCTAATAGTTAATATTTTAAACTTTTCCCAATTACAACTTCTAGCATGTTTACAAAAGAAATTAATTTGATTTATTTTCTGTGCTTCCCAAGTACTAAAGACAAATCTCTTTTCTACATGCCTATCAGCACAAACAAGCTAGGATGAGTCACCAGTAATGGTGCTGAAGGGTGACTGCGACATGTGGATCAGTTCTCCTATAATCTCCATCAGCTGCTAGCCCCAAGCCCTCGCCCCCACCCCAGAGGTTTATAACAGAAGAAAAGAGTGTCTGCTTTGTAGCCATAGTCCATGTCTAACCAGATTGGTGCCACTAATGTCCTCCCAGGAAAAATTCTAGAGCTGACACTGCTTGCAGTTTTAGATTATCTTACCAGGTTTTGTACCATACACATTCTTTCACTTCTCAGTTCAGCTACTAATCCATATATATCCACAAAATCATGATCATTTATATGCTGTGTTAAGTGGTCCAGAGCAATAAAAACTCCAGTTCTTCCAACTCCAGCACTGTAGGAAGAGTGAAATTACATGCAAATTATTCAGCAAAAAGGTTCATGTGGATGGTGAAGAAGAAGATAAACTATGGTAGCAACAAATTACATATAGTTTCTTTCTTATTTGGAAGTGGATTTTCTTTGGAGTTTCTTTGCACTTATATTGTTCCCAAGACTGTTGAGAAGGAGCAAGATGATTATCTTTAACATGCTATCAAATATTGGAGTTTTTTTTTTAAACCAGTTGACACCCATGGCGGAGTCAAGTCAATGTATGGCAAAACCAATACAATGTTGTAAAGTAAAATAAATGAATAAATTAAAAATAAATAAACCAGTTGAACTTTTCCTTCTCTTTCATGTTTTAAGAGGTGTAGTTGGAGAAGTACAGGAAATATTTTTTAAAAAATCACTGAAAAATCTTAACACCAGAAACTTTGAATATATTTTTGGTTACCAGTAGGGGTGCTAAACATGGAAAATGTCGACTGTTTAGCCCAGATAGCACTTCTTCTACATGGTATTGATCAATAGACTCTCGTGTGTTCTTTTCACTTTCCCTAGAATTTCCTTTTCCTTCCATAGATAATGGCATTGGAAAGCTGTTTCCTTTTAAGAATTTAGTTTAATACTGAAGGACAGTATGTGCTCCATATAAACTGTTAATTGATAAACCTGACAAGATTTATTCAGAAATTCCAATTAGAAAGACAAGACTCCTGTGTACTTAAATGGTTAATATAGGAAGTAAATCTGAAAAAAAGGTCACCTAGTCTTACAAATGTCACTTTGAAAAGTACAAAACAATACAGAAGCTACTTCTGAAGGTAAAGAATAGTTGAATGTCGACAGTGCCTATGAGTCAACCTAAGAAATAGCATTGCAACATAACTCTGAACACGATAACACATACATAAGCCCCAGCAGAGTAATTTCGTCATTACATTGTTAGCATACTTAGAGTGTCAGACACTGCCCTAGGCATCTGGGGTGCAGGAGCGAACCACACAAAGTCTCCAACACTTACAGAGCTTAGATTCTAGAGGAGGAAGGATGGGAGTCCACACAAAAAAGAAACACGTGTAAGGTATGCCCAGTGGTGATAAGTGCTATGTGTGTGTGCGCACAGTCATGTCCGACTTTGCAGCTCCATGGCCTGTAGCCTGTCAGGCTCCTCTGGCCATGAAACTTTCTAAGCAAGAATACTGGAATGGGTTGCTGCTGCTAAGTCATGTCAGTCGTGTCCAACTCTGTGTGACCCCATAGACGGCAGCCCAGCAGGCTCCTCTGTCCCTGGGACTCTCCAGGCAAGAACACTGGAGTGGGTTGCCATTTCATAATCCAGGGGATATTCCCAACCCAGGGATTAAACCTGCATCTCTTGTGTCTCCTGCATTAGCAGGCAGACTCTTAACCACTTGCATCACCTGGGATGCCCAATAAGTGCTATGGTGAAAGATAAAGGAGATAAAAGGTGATAGGGTAGGACAGGGTCATCAGAGACAGATTCTCTGACACTGAAACTTGAGTAGGGTTAGAAATGCACCATGTTGGTACACAGGAGAGGAGGATACGGCCAGACGGTGAGGGAAGGGAACAGATCTGACTGGGAGGGTGTTCTGCGTGTTCAAAGAAAAGCAAGGAGACTGGAGGGGGGCGGCGCGTGTGAGTGTGTGAAGAGGTGATGGGGGGCGTGGATCAGAGTATTTGCTATTGGATTGGATGCAGAATGTGAGAGGAAGTAGAGAGTCAAGGATGAGTCTAGGGTTTCTGGGCAAAGCAGGATGGACTGCTGTTGACCAATATGGGATGAGAAGGAGTGAGTCTGGAGATGGGCCCAAGCATTCTGTTTTGGACATATTACATTTTCAGAATATTGTGGTCATTTTATTAATAGGTTGTCATGTTGAACTGGAAGCTAAGTGTGTAGGTCAAAAGCTAAGATGAGAAGTTGGGATTGGCCATGATCATTTAGGAGAAAGTTTTAAAATGATACTTAAAGATTATTAATGTAAGCATACTTTTTTCTGCTTTTCTATCTAAGTCACAAAGGATGAGGTTACTCTTTTTGAGTCTAGAAGAGAGAAGGTACTTTACTTTTCTAGTGAATTTTTAAATCCACGATTATAATCCAGTGGCAGTGTATGTATAAAATAGGGAGACATAGCAGGCAGCTTACTATCCACTTTAATCATCAATAATGCCAGTTGAAAATCAATCACTGACTTTAAAAGCAAAATGTACCAGTCTGTTAAAATTTTTATGTGTATGGAGAGTATATGGAGTTGGGAGGGTAAGAATGAGGTTTTTACTTTTAATTTTATATGTTTTTAAATGTGAAAAAGATATCTCATAATGAGGACACTTGTATGTATTACTCTTACAATTTAAAAAATCTAAAATATTCCTGGAAAACGTAGGCTTATTTAAATTATGTGTTGAGTTTCTTCACCTAAATAAAAGTTTAAAAACTGGATGGATTAATATTTTATTAAATATTAACTACATTAATTATAACATATATATCCCCATTAGAATAATTATCCATCCATTGATTTTGGAGTTACTATAATTAATAATTACTTTGTTAATGTGGTTAAAAATCATTACTTAAATGTTTATTGTAACAAAAGATACATGACAAAATTTACCATTTTAACTGTATTTAAATGCACAATTTAGTGGGATTAAGCACATTCACAGTCTTATGCAACTATAACCAATATCTGTTTCTAGACTATTTTCATAATCCCAAAAAGAATCTCTATACCCATTTAACAGTAACTCTCAATTTCTCTTAAGTCCCTGGAAACCACAATTCCACTTTATGTCTCTTATGTTTTTACCCCCTTTTTAGGTACCTCATGTAAGTAGAATCATAAAACAGCATTATCACCCACTTTTTCTCTCATTTACAAACTACAACTGTTGAAGAGACTCATGCTGAGATTAATTTAGATACAACATGTTAGAAAGCATAAATTATATCAGTATGTCCAGAACTCTGAATTCTAAACAATTGTGAGCTTTATTTTTGAGGGGGAGTATTGGTGTTTCAGTGGTATAAAATACCAATGAAAATAAAAGTGAAAACCTTAATTTATTCTATTTATCATGTTCAAAGAGCTAGGTCAAAGAAAGATATTTGAATACTTTGCAAAAATTTAGAATCATGCTTGGGTTGGTCACTTAATTTGATCTTTAAAGTTCATTTTCTTTAAATCTTTGTAACTCAAATCTTGGAAGTTGTTTTAACAAAAAAGTTTAAGTTAATATGGTAGACTAATCTCAATTGAAATAATGAAGGATCAAGAGTTTATTCATAAAACTCAAAAGATTCTACATACCCAGACTCATTCACATCAGTAGTGGGCTACAATTTTTTATACATTTTAAGGATTTTGAGAGGTATAATCCAGTAAAGATTTCATAAAAACTCTTATACGAGCATATATTTTTTTTTCTTCCTTTTAGCCACAGTCTCATTTTATCTCTGCCATCTAACCTTTTATAAAACTACATCTTGATTTGTTATAGCCAGTAAAATATCTGAAAACTAAAAGCTTTTATCTCTGTAATCTAACCTTTTATAAAACTACATCTTGATTTGTTATAACCAGTAAAATATCTGAAAACTAAAAGCTGGATTGAATCTACATTAATATTCTACTAGAAAATCAATAGTGTCATGATAACATAAAGGTCACGTAGAGTTTAAATCCTGTTTCGAGTATTTCACAAAAGGTTCTGAAAACCTTTCTTACCTGCAGTGAACGATCATGGGTGTGGTATCATGTGCCCTGCTTGCTCGAACCAGCTTCACAAAGTGAAGTAGTGGGGTGCTGTTCTCAGGGACCCCATGCTCAGGCCAAGCAGTAAAGTTGCACTGTCGAATGGTCATGCAATCCCCATGCTAGACAGAATGACATATTAAAGACACATGATAAAGTTACTTAAGCATCACAGGGAAGTCTGAATGTAGCTGACTCCCCAGGTTTTCAAGGTGATCTTTTAAAATGACAGTTTACAAAACAAAGAAACTGTGGTTTCTTGATTCCCTATAAGAGAAGTCTTCTGCTATTGCTGCACTATAGAAAATTGCCTTTCAGTGTGAATGCAAACAATGAGCATGATTGTTGCACGTCTTGCAAACAGATGATTATGTAGGGTATTTACATTCAATGTAGTGTAACATTTTGTAACACCAGAATAATGGGTTTTGAACAGTTTTGACCTAACAAATAAACATGCTCACAAATCATTCAAAACACTAGTATTGAGTATCTGATAATGTCAGAAAGTATAAAGATCCTTATATCATTTTCTGTGTGTATAAATATTTACATAATAAAGATGGGATCTCTATGTTATTGATTCTGTATTCGTTCTGGATTAAATAGAAAATCCAATGATTAAGATATAGATAGAGACCTGTGATTTCAGAAATTCCTGTTTTAAATAAAATTTTACAGTTTCTTCATAAAATAAGATAAACCTAATGATCCAGTTGTTTCCTCCTGCTTCCTTCCTTGTTTACCTAAGAATTTGATATTAACTAGTTAATATAAACTTCAAGTAATATTGAATTAAACATCATGACATAGATATTGAAGGCAAATGCCAACTCAAAACTTCTATGTTGGAGATAATAGAAAAGCATTACTGAATATACAGAAATATGTTTAGAAATTAATTTTACTTTAGACATTTAGAGCATTCATATTTTTTATCATGTTTGACTTCCCCCTTCCTTTTTTTTTGTTTTTTTACCCTTTCAATTTTCAGATCTCTGATGGTCCAGTCTATTTGAACATCCTCCATTAGTTTTGTAATCACTATATCTCCAAAGACAGTAACTGGTTTGTTGTCCTCTGGCCAATATTGATGACATCTGGTCTGTAGTCAAGAGAAAATTCACCAGTTATAAGAACCATTTTATATATCTATATATCTCTCTATATATAAATAAATATATAAAAAATATATATATAGTTCAAAGTTATTCCTACTAAGGTGTAACTGCTTTATACATGCCCAAGTCATTCATATGTCAGAGTATTAGCTAAAATTGTCACGCATGTGCTAAGTCACTTCAGTCGTGTCTGACTTTGCAGACTGTAGCCCACCAGGCTCCTCTGTCCAAGGGATTCTCCAGGCAAGGGTACTGGAGTGGGTTGCCATGCTCTCCTCCAGGGGATATTCCTGATACAGGGATTGGACTCTCATCTCCTGCTTTAGGAGGCATGTTCTTTACCACTAGCGCTACCTGGGAAGCCCAACATCACACAATAATTAACACAAATGTAAAATAAAGGTTTTGTGAAAAGCTTTTCAAATAACTTACCCGCCCTTTTTCAAAACACTGTGTTAGCATTACTAATGTTTTTGCTCTGGTTTCCCACACCATTCTCCAAAAGTCCCCAACTGTTCCTGGTAATGGACCTTGAGTAGCAATAAATTCATTTGGACATAAATAGCCCTAGAATGATATAATTACAACATTGCATCAATATTTACATATATATATGATACTTTTTAGTTTTTGAGACATATGAAAAACATACTAGTTGTAAGATAACCTAATATTCTAAAATACTGCATATTTTTGAATGCTAAAAGATACTCAAATTTCCAACATTAATTTTAACCTCATAATGTAATATACAACTAGCTGTTCTTAAAGTTTATTTCTAACTTTTAATAAAAGAGTAAGGCTGAATAATAATAATACCACTTTATGGCAGACAATATGTTAAACATCTTTCAATTAATCTATTTCTTATAAAAACCTTATGAATTAGTACTGTTATTATCCTCATTTTACAGATGAAGATGGAAGCTAAGAACTGTGAATTTGCTCAAGGTCTCACAGTAAGATAGTCTGGATCCAGAGCCAGCTGTCTTACCCACTCCACTAGCTATTGTTATAAATTTAAAGAATGTGCAGATGTTTTCATATATCCCTGCAAGAAATTATCTACATAAATGATGGTATTAGTAATTATTCTCCAGAGCTTAAAACCAAGAGTAATGTGGAGATAATGAGAAGATTCACTTAACTATTGTAGGACCTGAGATTTGTCTCGACCCTGTTAGGACAGCTCTTGTACATTTTATCAAGTTGTTCTAAACTCAGTCTATTCACCTGGAATGTAAGCATGCCATGTGAGGAGCATCTGTGGATTTTTCTTAAAGTTTATGTATAAATTTTTAAAAAGGAGTGGAATTACATCTATTTCAAACATTGAAATATTTTGAGGAATGAGGTTTAAGGGTGAATTTTATTTTTAACTTGGATTGTCTCAGTAGCCAGAGAATAGAGTATTACACAGAATAGTGTACATCTTAAAGTTCAAGTGGTCCTGAAATCTAATCCAACCAGTTTATTTTACTTTGAAGAATGGTGAGCCACTTTAGGTGATTTTTCCCAAATCACAGTGCTAGTCAATGACGGTTTCTGGAACAAAACCTTCAGTCTCCTAAAAACAAACAAACAAAAACTATGTGCTGAAGCATTTCTGTTTCCAGTCTCAGTTGAAATACTTGAGTATGTAATTAATTATATTGTAAAGGGTTTTTTTTTTTTTTTTTAGGTTGAGTAGTACTATACAATCAATGTAGGATGTTAGGAAAATTCAGAAATATATATTAAAAATGTGGCATTCATCTGTAATCTCATTATCCAGAATGAAGCACCATTAATATTTTAATTTCTTTACAGCCTTTAAAATGCACATTCCTCCATTCAAATAATATTTATGAGTGCTTACTGTGTGCCAGGCACTATTCTAGGAACTGAGGATTCATCATCGACTCAAATTCCTACCCTGATTTGTCTTATAATCTAGTTAAGGGAAATAGACATTAGATCTGTTAACAGGTCTATTGAATGAGCAATTTATATAGCTTTTTTAAAGTGATAAATGGTATGAGAGAGAATTTCAGAAAACAGGGTGTTCAGAAAAGGCTCACTGGTGAAATCTGAGGAAAGACTTGAAGCAGAAAGAGGTAAGCCCTTCAAGATTTGGAGAAAAAGTGTTCCAGGTCGAAAGTCAAGTGTAACAGCGTTAAAGGAGAGATGTGTCTGGAATTGTAGGAACTGCAGCTGGGGAGTTTTGACAGTTGCAAGAAGGTGACGTTGGCGAGAACAAGAGCGGGAGGCAGCAGTGCTTTAGGCCCTGGAGCAGGTAATTAGAGAGTTTGCTTTTTGCTCTGGATGACATAGAAAGCCATTGAAAGATTCTGAACATACATAGAGTGTGTTTAATAGTTTCACTCTAGTTACTATACAGTAAGCTGATAGTGGTATAAAAAGGGAAAGGAAGGAGAGTAGTTAGAATATTGCAACAGTCCAACCCAGGAATGCAGTCTGGGTGATAGGAATGGGCATTGTGGTAGGTAATAAAATCAGGTGTATTCTGAAGACAGAGCCAAGAGAATTTGCTTATGGATTGGATACTGGGTATAAGAAAGATAGGAGTCAGTAACGATTCCAAATAAAGATGGGGAAAAAGATCTTCAGTATGAGCATACTTTAAAAAATTTGTTTAATTGAAGTATAGTTGATTTACGATGTTGTGTTTCTGGTGTAAAGCAAAGTGATTCAGTTATACATATATAATACATATTCTTTTTCCTAGTCTTTTCTGTTGCAGTTTATTGCAGTTTATGGAAAATCCTTCCCTGTGCTATGCAGTAGAGTTATTTATTAATATAGTACATTGTATCTGCTGATCTCAAAGCCCTAATTTATCCCTCCCCACCCACTTTCCCCTTGCTGTTAAGTCACTTCAGTCGTGTCCGACTCTATGTGACCCCATAGACGGCAGCCCACCAGGCTCCACCGTCCCTGGGATTCTCCAGGCAAGAACAATGGAGTGAGTTGCCATTTCCTTCTCCATAGGTAACCATAAATTTGTTTTATATGTCTGTGGGTTTATTTCTGTTTGGTAAATAAGTTCACTTGTATCATATTTTAGGTTACACATGTAAGTAATATCATATGGTATTTCTCTTTCCGTTTCTGACAAATTTTATTTAGTGTGACAGTCTCTAGGCCCATCCATGTAGCTGCAGATATCATTATTTCATTCTTTTTTATGGCCAACATTCTGTGTGGACTTATATTCACACACATATATACCATCTATGTGATATATAAATACACACTCATCACATCTCCTTTATCCATTCCTCTATCAGTGGACAGATTGGTTGCTTCCATGTCTTGGCTATTGTCAATAGTGCTGCTATGAACATTGGGGTGCATTTATCCTTCAAATTCAAGTTTTCTCCAGATACATGCTCAGGAGTGGGATTTCTGGATCATATGGTAACTCTAATTTTAGTGTCTTAAGGAGGCTCCATACTATTTTCCATACTGGCTGTACTGATTTACATTTCCACCAACAGTGTAGGTAGGTAGGTTCCCTTTTCCCCACACCTAGCATAAGCAGACTTAAAAGGAAAATCAAGAATTCACAATGGACATATTAAACTTGAAATCCCATTTGGATATTCAAGTGGGAATGTCATCAAGGCAATTGGGTATATGAGTTTGGAGTTCACAAAGAAGTCCAAACTAGAGACATAATTTTAAAGTAGTCAGCAAATAGATCTTACTTAAAATCACAAGAATGGTTGAGATCATCAAGGAAATGAGTTTGAAAAGAAGCAGCAAATTCAAGGAATGGGCTCTAGATAATTTCACTGTTTGGTAGTCAAGGAGGTAAGAGAGAACCAAAGAGGCTGAGATGAAAGATTCAAAGGCGTAGATGGAAAATCAAGAGAATGTTGTCCTAGAAGCTGAATGAAGAAAGTGTCTTAAGGGTGAGGACAATTAAGGGTAATTTATCAATTTATAAAATATTTCTCCTAGTTATCTGCATTTCCCTGTTTCAGGGATCAACATCCTTTGGTACTATAATCTTCTATCAGCATAGACCAAATCTGATGTTTCTGATATGATTATGGCTCATTTGCATCATAGCCTTTAATCTTCAGTCTAACTATGGTAAAAGCTATCCTCAAACTGAAGTAATTTCAGGCATCTTAGGTTGACAGGGGAGATAATTTGGGTTAGCGGGTCAGAGTCTTCCTCTTGTCCCATTACATAATATTCTTGTTCGCTCTCTTGAAAACATTTCTAAACTCACTTGTACAGCTATTGGCTATTTACAAGGATGCAGTATGTATTTTCCTCTCTACCTCTCTCCCACAGTCCATCCTTAATCAAAAATTTCCAGCTTCTCACTGAGTCCTAGCTTTAGAAGTATAATTCCCAACAGCCAAGGCCTGAGAGGTAAACATACAGTAATCTAATTACAGATCCTGGCCTGGTGTTTCCTAGCCTCAAAGCACATACTTCAGACCACCTACTAGTATTTCCTTTTCCCTTCTTCAGATTTCACTTTTCCCCCTCATCTAAACACTACCTATTTTGCTTTCTTCTCTCGCTCTATCGTTCTCCTCCCTTTCCCTCTAGCATCCAAAGAAATAGGAATCTAGAGTCCATTTGTAGATGGCCTCTATCTTTGGCTCCTGGATCAAGTGTGCATGAACTTTCACACAGAGGTGCCATGGAGGAAAACTGGGGAGTGGGGAGAAACTGAGGTGTCCTTCATTCTGAGAAGTCTTTACTCTTTGTGAAGTGAAGACTGCCTAAACTTGGGGATGGAAAAGTGAGAGGACACTACAGTCCTATGAGTTTATTTCCATCTTCTCCTGACATCCCAGACAAAGGAGATTGCCCTGAAAGTAAAAGCAATAAATATACTGCCCACTTTGATACTGAAACTTGGCTTAATGTAAAGTGCTTTCCATCTGCACCTGCTTACTATGCAGCTCCGTAAGGATGATACATATCATTATATCTGGGTCATAGTGACTTTGTTGTAAGGTTTATTATATTGCAACATCACTTGACCACAGAAGAAAGTTTATATTCTGTATATATTCAGACTTAGTTTATTGTTCATTCTGCATTATCTTCTTCTTATGATTGTCTCCTGAAAACTTGTAATATTTAGAGGGAACACTGGGAGTTCATTAATATTCCTTTGTTTATGTAATCTGGGTGGTTCAGTTATACCTCCTAAAACTGTCTGGTTGCCTTCCTAATCATGTTCATATCCTATACTGTCATCCCATAGCTAGTTGAACCTTTTAGGCTATGAGGTACTCATTTGTGTCTACTTATTTGGTAGATAAGACTCACTGTATAATTGTCATTTTGGAGTAATTACTAACCAAAGTAAAATTTAGAATGAATGAATTCTTTTCCCTCTTAACAGAGGCTTGTGGGGAGGGGGACACAGGACAGGTTATGTTCGATGTTGGGGAAAGGATGGAGCAATACATAAGCAGAGCCCCAGTGGGACCAAATGAAATGGCAGGCCTAGGCGAGAAGATGATGGATAAGAAAAAAAATTTTTTTAAATGGGAGTATGGGCAGTAAAGGAAGGCTTCAGGTATCTGTAGAATCATAATGAGAACCATGGTTAGCCTTGCTACCTATTAGAGTTGAAGTCCGTGGTGAAGATTTAAGGGTACACATCTTGTTTTTAAAAAGCTGTATGTGCTTGCTTCGGCAGCACATTCATTGTAAGCGAGCACATACACTAAACTTGGAGAGATACAGAGATTAGCATGGGCGCTGCAGAAGAATGACAGGCAAATTCATGAAGTGTTCCATATTTATATTTGATCAAATTATGTATTCAGTTCTTTCTAGAAGAGGTGGCTTATTAATAGGGAAGAAGATTGCTATATTATAGTTGTAAGAATAGTGTTAGTTATTTTAGGTTTTCTTTTTCATAATATCGAAGATTCAGCCATCAGTGGGGTATTTTAGAGTCTCAGGGACATCAGGATGGAGGACCAGTCGTCAGTTTTTTTTTTTTTTTTCTTTTAACAGTAAAACGTCTTCAAAGTTTTTGCCTCAGCGTCTCGCCCAGGCCTGCCGTCTCATTTGTCCCACTGGGGCTCTGCTTATGTACTGTTCCATCCTTCCCTTTCCCACCTAGAGAAGAGTTCATTTTCTTAATTCAAACTAGTTAAATATTCTGGGTGAGACAAGTCACTGACTTGCCTATTACCTTTTAGAAAAGTTGGCGTTTTGTTAAAATACTGTACTTATTACTAATCTGAATTTGCATTGACTATGTTTAGTATATTTATACATGGTGAATGCAGTTTCTGAAATTAAGCTTTTTCCTTGCAGTTTTCTAAAAACAAACCCCGACCGTATCCTGGAGTAGCTCAGAGAGAAAATCATCTGCCTTAGGGAGGAAGTGGGTGAGTCAGTGCCAAGAGTCTGATCTCTATCAGTCATTTTTCACAAAGATTTTTTAAGTGACTGGATTAAATAATCACCGGAGCAATTCCTCCTCTGAGATGTCATGGCTGTGTCAACCCAAGTGGAGGTCTTGGGTGCATATAAGGTTTCTGTGTACCTAAGATAGTGGTGAGCATTGAGAGATCAAGAGTCATGGAGAAAGGGCTCCTTGGAAAACTCTGGTTATGTTCCACTTTCGACCCTATGTGGCAAGAATGTATTGTCTGTGATGTGCAGCATAGTATATTAAGCCTATCACAGTTCACCCCACATTGGATCACTTAAGATACATTTATTGAGTGACTGCAAAAGAGTACACATTCTCTAAGTAGCGGAGGGTGGAAAGAACATGGCATCATGTTTCCCTTGAAGGACTGAAAATCTTGAAGAAGAGCACGGTGGGTTTTTATATTATATGGACATGACTATCCATTTGACTAATTTTCTTTGAAAAATTGGCTGACCTCATTGTATACAGAGGATCGTCTGACAAACACCAGAAACAGTGGAAAGTCCAGGGGATATGCAGTTTGAAGTTTTACATCTGCTGCTTCTTAGTGAAATGATTGTTGGGTAAATTGCAATCTCTATTTGGAGCTTCCACTTTCTCATGTATAAAACATGGTATACCTAATGTTGTAATGAACTGGTACATTAAATCTATAGAGGTTGTAATGAATTTCTTGTTTTCAATAGCCGGAAGAGTAACATTATTGTATTTATGTTTTATTAAAAAATACATAAAATAGCAACTTACAGAAACATAGCTGGCATTAATATAATCTGATCCTGGAATACTAGCATCAGCTATCAGCTTCACTCTGTTATTGTTATCTAGAAGGAAAGATAAGATATTAATACTAATTTGCTATTTAAATTACCATACTTTTTTCTATAAAATACGAAGAAGTTGGTGATATAACATTCGAGAATTACAGATGGCTATAAAATTTTAAAGTAGAAGTTCCCTCTCATACATATTTCCATGACCTAAAGACAATGACTGTTAATATGTTCTCATATTTATTTCCAGGATTTTCTATACATAGTCATATAAAATTAACCACAAATGGGGTGCTAGTCCCTCTATTCTGCAAAATAAAATTATTTAGCCATATCTTTCCATATTCGTGCAAATAACAATATCTATTGGGTTGGCCATAAAGTTTGCTCCAATTTTTCCATAACATGTTATGGAAAATCCTGAACAAATACCTTTACCAACCTAATAGTTCATTACTTTAAAAGGCCATATGGTATTTCATTGTATGAATATAACATACTTATTTAGCTCTTCAGGATAATTGAAAATCATATCATTTTGTTATTATAAAATGCTGAATAAATAACTGAAATTTTGCATTTATGTTGGAGTCTGTTTGTAGAATACATTACCAGCAGTAAAATTCCCTAAGCATATTGTGCTTCTCAAATTTGAAAGACTGATGAATTGTTCTGAAATTATATCAGTTCACTCTGAACAAGTGTTTGAACAGTTTGAACAATTGTTTCTTCTCACTTTTACTGCCATGAGATACTGTTAAACATTTTAATTTATGACCTTCTGAGAGATACCAGTTGATTTATCTTAGTATTTATTTTTATTGCCTTAACTATGAGTGAAGTTGAGCTTCTTTGCTTGTGTATTGGCCATTTTAAACATCTTTTCTATAATTGCCTTTCATATTATACTATTTTTTATTTTAAAAATATTTTATACTAAAAATGTTACATGTATTGAAATTTTTTTGGTTTGTCATTTGTCTTTGAGTCACTCAATTTATCTTGTTAGCTATCTTGCCATACATAAAATTTATATATATTGTAATCAAAGTTCTCATTTTTCACTGTGGCTTTCTGCGTGATACATACAAAAGTCTTTGTCAAACCAATATTCTTATCTTTGCAGATTCATTCATAGTGTCTTCCAGAGCTTTAATAGGTTTTATTGCTTTTGTTTTAAATATTTTGATTTTTGACCTATTGGGCTTCTTTTATTTGGAGACAGAATGAGGGAAAATCTATGTTTTGTTGTTTGTTGCCATTTAGAACAATAAATAGTACATCCTTACCCCCTTATTCAAAATACCACTTTATCATACACTAGTTTTCTCTGTGTTTAGGTCTATTTCTGGAGCTCTTTCTTTAAATTAGATGCCTATTCTTTCTTTCACACCAAACTTTGAATTACTGTTAAATTTAAATTACCATACTTTTTTCTATACAATACGAAGAAGTTGGTGATATAACATTCGAGAATTACAGATGGCTATAAAATTTTAAAGTAGAAGTTCCCTCTCATACATATTTCCATGACCTAAAGACAATGACTGTTAATATGTTCTCATATTTATTTCCAGGATTTTCTATACATAGTCATATAAAATTAACCACAAATGGGGTGCTAGTCCCTCTATTCTGCAAAATAAAATTATTTAGCCATATCTTTCCATATTCGTGCAAATAACAATATCTATTGGGTTGGCCATAAAGTTTGCTCCAATTTTTCCATAACATGTTATGGAAAATCCTGAACAAATACCTTTACCGACCTAATAGTTCATTACTTTAAAAGGCCATATGGTATTTCATTGTATGAATATAACATACTTATTTAGCTCTTCAGGATAATTGAAAATCATATCATTTTGTTATTATAAAATGCTGAATAAATAACTGAAATTTTGCATTTATGTTGGAGTCTGTTTGTAGAATACATTACCAGCAGTAAAATTCCCTAAGCATATTGTGCTTCTCAAATTTGAAAGACTGATGAATTGTTCTGAAATTATATCAGTTCACTCTGAACAAGTGTTTGAACAGTTTGAACAATTGTTTCTTCTCACTTTTACTGCCATGAGATACTGTTAAACATTTTAATTTATGACCTTCTGAGAGATACCAGTTGATTTATCTTAGTATTTATTTTTATTGCCTTAACTATGAGTGAAGTTGAGCTTCTTTGCTTGTGTATTGGCCATTTTAAACATCTTTTCTATAATTGCCTTTCATATTATACTATTTTTTATTTTAAAAATATTTTATACTAAAAATGTTACATGTATTGAAATTTTTTTGGTTTGTCATTTGTCTTTGAGTCACTCAATTTATCTTGTTAGCTATCTTGCCATACATAAAATTTATATATATTGTAATCAAAGTTCTCATTTTTCACTGTGGCTTTCTGCGTGATACATACAAAAGTCTTTGTCAAACCAATATTCTTATCTTTGCAGATTCATTCATAGTGTCTTCCAGAGCTTTAATAGGTTTTATTGCTTTTGTTTTAAATATTTTGATTTTTGACCTATTGGGCTTCTTTTATTTGGAGACAGAATGAGGGAAAATCTATGTTTTGTTGTTTGTTGCCATTTAGAACAATAAATAGTGCATCCTTACCTCCTTATTCAAAATACCACTTTATCATACACTAGTTTTCTCTGTGTTTAGGTCTATTTCTGGAGCTCTTTCTTTAAATTAGATGCCTATTCTTTCTTTCACACCAAACTTTGAATTACTGTTATTCAGACTGTTTTACAGTCTAGCAAAATTAGATAACCCTTTACCCATTATTCTTCTTCAAAGAAAAGTATCAAAAATTATTTTTCCTTGAGAATTTTTGACAAATTGGTATTACAGTTGAAATGTCCAGTGCTAATTTTCACTAGACAAGGAAATGATACAAAGTCATCTATCACTAAATTCTTTTAAAGTTTTAAAAGGAATCTTCCTGGGAAGGCACTCAGTAGGGAGCAAAAATGGGTCAGTGGGTTTGAGTGGGAGCTCCAGATGCTGTCTATCTGCCATTTATGGCCTGGGGTGGATTGTTTCACTTCTCTGCTTGTTTGTTACCTCAGCTATAACATACAGGTATAATATTTATTTTGTAGAATCCTCTGAGGAAAAATATGAAAGCTTACAAAACATATAGCTCTGTATGGAACACAGAACACATTCTCAAGTTCTTAAAATTAAGCACATGTTCTATGTTAAATGACTTTGCTGTATCATTAAGTATAATGACCCAACCAATGTGTTTGAATCTAAAGAAGGGGGATCATTCAAGCAGATTACGTGAACCATTTCTGTCCCAAAGATTTTGAATTTGGCATGATGTGCCAATTTTAATGACGTCGTGGCCAGTCATGTAACTAAGAAAGGGAAGCCAGCAGGTTTCTATTCACTCAATATCTGAGTGAACTATCCGAGTCAACTGAACTGAGTCAACAGCAAGCTAAACTTTTCTTCATGGTGTTGGAACACTTCTCAAGGTCATAGTGTACTGTCAGACAGAGATTTGGAAATCTCTTCTGCACACATTTGCTGCTAATTCTAGTATCTTAAAGCCCTGTAAGCTAATATGTTCTAAAATACACTGTGATATTTGAAATCCTTCTTTCTACATTACTCAGGGGAGACAATGAATCTCACTTAGCTGGCTCACAGTAAAATTCAGACTCTACTAAAATGAATTCATTCTCTATGGGAGGAAAAAACATTTCTTCAGCTTTATGGCTTCTCTGAAAACACAATAGGAGAATATATTAGTTTAAATATTGCATCTTCTGTGGGTATGTGTGTGTGATGGTGGGAGGGAGCTGGGAGCATGTGGGTCTGTTTGTCCGTATGAGCAAATGTGAGTTTACAGCTTGTCTTCCAACCCAGATTAGGGAAGTTGGTTTGTAATCTCCAGACCATAGACCCTAAGGGCCTGTAACTAAATTTTAGTCACCCAGAAACTTAGAGGCTTTTAAAAATAAGCAATTTACTGATTACTAACAATCGTAAGAACTAAGATTGATTGAGAGCTTCCTGTGTTCTATATTGGGCAAAGTGATTTACATGATTATTTTATCTAATCCTTAAAGTTATGCAGTTGACATTACTAAATAATGTCCAATAACTAAAGTAGTTGTTAGGTAAACAGAAATGCAACCCAGGAAGTTTGATTAGAGCCCACATTTTTAGTCATTTTACTATACAGCAGGTAGTATGTACTAGTTGAATTAATAAATTCTTAATAAAATTATTGAAAAGTGTAAAATTATGCTTAATAAAATTATTTCTTATAGAACTTCCAGTTTTGGGGGTTTTTTTGTTTTTTTTTTTTACGTAAGGAAATTGTTTTTCTTGTTTATTGCTGTTTAAGTCGTAAATTAGCACCAGCCGTTTAGACAGCTACATGGCAATGTATGTAAGAGACAAAAAAATGTTCATACCATTTGATCTCCTAAGTCCTTCTGTGGGAGAAGCAAAAATATATTTGTGAGGGACAGTGCATTGCAATACTTTAAGAGGACAGTTAAGAAAAAACTTTACCCCAAAACCCACTACAGGATATTGGATGTGGATGTAGTATATTATTTGAAAAATTACTAAGTTTTCTGTACTGAAATCAAGAAAAAAACAGAAAACAATTGGATATTATCCATTTGACTCTAGCAAAGGTGAGAAAAAAGTATGCAATGCTCATGATATTCCCAAACATCCTTGATTTACAGTTATTTATTGTCTTATGCATCAGTAGTTATTTTTGTCTTAGCCTCAGATATTGGGATTGTCTTACTCCTCAGTTCTCCTTATTTTAAGGATGTTTATTTAGTTATATTCTTCTTATGCTGTAAGTGCGAGCAAGCTAGCACTGTATGACTTTAATGGCCATTATGTGAACCCAGAAAATAATGCACTGAAATCTTAATAACAAAAGATCAAAATGTTACATATAAAAAACTCACATATCAAAGTTTTGTATATTTAAAGTCAGATATGCTTCAATCTTTGGAAATAAGCTAGATATGTTTAATTTACTTATATATAATGATATACAGTGATATACATTACTTCAGCCACATACATTATTATAAATAAAATTAAATATTCCATAGTAACTGTTCTTCAATCAGACTGTAGTATTTATTTTCACAGAATATCATTAAGCATGAAGCAGAGAATCTGAAGGAAATTTAGATATGGATGAATATAAAAACCTGAGACTTTCCATATCTCTTAAACTTAGGATGTATCCCACCCAGGTTAACTCTCTGAAAGGAAAACAAAAGGACTTAATAAGAAAGGTCATGCCAGAGGAATTTAGAGATGTAATACTAACATTCCCTATTTCCTACAAAGATGCCTTGTCAACTTACTCTTAAAGTCATTTACCTATGATTTGTTTTGTTCCGGGAAGGATTTTAGGTGATTAAAGCTATTTGTATTTTCATCCTTTTCTAATTCTTGGGAATTAACAGATTCCATTAGGTTACTGACTTCTAGATCATGTTTCCCTAAATTTGTTTACTTCATACCTCGGTTATCCTCTAGCTCTAGAACAACACAATATGGTCCTTTTGGGGGGAGCTATTCATATCCTTATGATTTTACCTTCTGTGATTACATATTTATCAAAGTCTGTGTCTTTCTAGACAGAAGAGTTCAATTTTTATATGTATGGAATTTCCCCCAATACAGTTTTGAAAAGGTATAGAACATTGGAAAAAAATACATATACTAACTCTAAAATTAAGAATATTTTACAGCTCTAGACTTTGAAACAATATTGACATTTCAGAACTTAACATATCACTTTTTAATTTCATAATGTAAAAATGTATTGAATCAGAATATACTTAGTAGGATAATATGTTGAAAAATACAGCAAACACAGCCATCATTTAAAGAGGATTGTCATGCTTTTTCTTTCACATTACTGTTAATTCTTACATCAATAATATGGTTTCTTTTTTCCACGTCAGTATACACATTCATTTTAATGACATTTAAGGACTAATAATAACAGTGTAGCATATACTATGGTTTCTTACTGATTGAAAAATGTTGACTGTGGTAAAGCACAGGCCTTCCTCCCTTGCAAAAACCAACCCTGCTGATCACACATTACTCTGATCTTCAACAAATATTTTGCAATGCACTTTTTTGTATTCCTTTACAAAGCACTGCCATGCTCTTAAGGAAAGTAATGCGCATAGTTACACGTGAACTTTCTCTTTTCATTTGAGAACTAGGTCTATAGGAAGACATTAGAGAGGTTTGTTCCTTGGGTTAAATTACAAAGCTCAGAAAGTACTAGGGCTACAGTTTCTTACACCTGCATGAATAAAACCTTGTGTGAACAAGCTGAAACTCATGTACATTAACTTTAGTCAATATTAACAAAGCCAAAGAGATACAATTTATAAGTTGCTGCTAATAAAATGCATTATTCTAATTCAATTAATATGTAACACATATTTAAGAAGAATGCTAAAGTGCATTTTGCACTTATCTGAAAAGCTTTCAGTATCTAAAACCAGAAATAGTATGTACACATACATGGTTTTATGTTTGGAAAGCGGTTTTTTGCTCTGTTCCAAGGCAGATCAGCGTCAGTTGAAGATAGATCCTGAAGAAATTTTGGTAATTCCTGTGGATTGAAGTCATTGCAAAGTTTAGATTTATTTCAGAGGTCAACACAAAGTACCACTTAGTAAAAGGCCATTCTAAGTCCTTTTATGTTTAAAACGAAAACACTTCTCATAACTGCAGAAGCAGGGTCAAATTAACAGTAAAGAACTTACATGAATTTACAGTGAAAATATCCTGAATAGCACTGGTCCCTTGGGCTCCTGCTTTCTCTGGCGTAGCTTCTTTGTCCTCTGTGAAGCTCTGAGGTGTGGCAACCATGCTAGCAACTGCCTTTCATATTTTACTGATGGCTTCATCAAATAGTCCCTGTGTATTATTTACTATTTTAACATCTACTTAGTAGGGGAAGGGAACTGGTGATTTATTTTTTGTTTTTTCTCCTTGGGCAGTGTGATTTCATGCCTATTAATTGGTACAACATTGGTCAGTTTGAGAAGATGCCAAAGGTCAATTCCTGTTCTCAGTGGGCATTGTGAAGTCGATAGCAGAATGCAGAGGTGGGATTAAGAAATATCAGAGGCTGAGGGAGTGTCAGGGAGATCTGTTACTGATATTTTGGTGGAAAATCATGATATCCATTGATCATTTAAAAAGCTGTGCAAGAAAATAGGTTATTTTATCAAGCTGATGATTTACATTTATGAAATTTATAATTTTCCGTATCAGAAATGTGTCAATTTACCAGATTCCCTTAAAAGTGCTAAAACTGTGGGGTTTTCAATTTTTCAGCATTATTAAAGATTATTTTTTTAACTGGATAATTTTCCCTTCTCCCTTATTTTTCCTCTGAGAATTCTGGACAGTCTTTTGCATGTATGTATGTGTTAGATAGGAGGGACAAGGTTAAGCATCTGAATTCTGGTGTTCTGGCACCAGAGGCTTCGAAAAACTTTTTAACCAAATGAGGAATCCTAGAACAGCTTCCTTCTGTCAGGCTTTGGGAGTATATATCAGCATATTTATATGAGACAAACAGAGGGGAAAAGAAAGGTGAATTGGAATCACCTTCTATTCTGTGTTTACAGAAGTTTCCATTTATAGGTTGAAATGACTCTGGCCTTGATAATCAATACTCAGTTACCAGGCCGATTGTTTGGTTAGTAATATTACACTCAATGGTCTTCTTATCAGGGCACATGGGGCCTCAACCAGCCCTCCTAGATACTTAGCTCTTTCTCCTTCTGTTTCTGCTTGTTAGTGGATCACAGCTGAGTGAGATGGTTTTGCATCCTTATGCTTTCTCATTCTTCTTTCTCTCTAGAATACCTTTCCCCCTTTCTCTACTCATTGGACTTCTGCTCTGTCCTAAAGTTCATCTGGCCGGTCACTTTTTAGTAAAGTCTTTTCTGATTGCTCTTCAGACAGAGTTGATGCTCACTTCTTCCTGTGTATCTCTATCATGACACTGTGTATTTGTGATTTCTTAGACATGCCTGCAGTTCTTATCATAAATAGGAACTTCGTTATGGTAGAAATCATCATTATAATAACATGCTTATTGTGCCAGCCACATTACACATCATTCAATCAGTTTAGTATTCACAACTCAATAAGACAGATACAGATGGAGGACACTGAAGAACAGAGTTTCAGTAATTTGCCCAAGGTCACTTAGCTATAAAATGCTGAATTGACATATATCAATGCCTAGTGCAAGTAAGAGCTTATTGATATTTAAAGTGTAAGTGAATATGACCTGAATACAAGGTTTATCAAATATATGCATCAAAGATGCATGTTTATTAAAACAGTTTTGCTTTAAAAACTGACACAGCAGCAGAACTAAAAGAATCTAAAAAAGCCACATCCTTACATATTTATATATATTTACTTAGTATATACACACAACATATATATATATAAAACCCAAGTACTTAAAACCATGATCTCCCAAATAGTTAAACTAGAAACCTTCTCAGTATATGTGAAAATGTTATTGCTAATAAAACTTTTCAGATACTCAGTCATGTATAATGGAACTATATTCGCTATATTCTAATGAAACTACCCTTTGGTTCCTGAAAAATTGAAAGTTCTTGCTGAATAAATACTAAGAGGAGTTTTATGGTACCAATGATTTTTTTAAGTCCAGATGAATATTTAAGAAGCATAACCAAAAAGCTGTAGGAAATACCATTAATCTTCTCACATTTTTGTTATTATTCCCTGAGAGACTGAAATATTACAATCCTGAATTATCCAAGCCAATTGTTTGAGTCTTTGTTCACACACTAAAATGTTCGTGAAAAAACATATTTGGTAACATTTAGAAATCTGTTTTTATTTTTCTTATATAAAATAAGTCAGGAAAGGGGCTCACAAATTTTAAGATAGCTTATAGATCTAATACATGTATTGTGTTTTAATGTAATTTTAATTTTGTAGATATATAAAATGGTAAAAGCAATAAAATTAATCTTCTAACTTTCAAATAGTCTTAAAGTGACAAGTTCTTAACTTCGTATATTCTGTTTAATGTGATAGAGCACTTATTCCATGATAACTTAAAAATAAGCCTGTAAAGCACAGGTGTTATTTATCTATTTTTGTACAGTTCTAAAAAAACATTGTTTTTTTATAATTTCTGGAAACATCAAATTCTGTTCTCAGGTTCATCTATACCACTAACATAAACTAATAAGCGGGCAAATATGAAATGAAATTATTTAGTTTCTAAATCTAAAAGTTAGTGAAATATAGGGTACCACCCAAACCTTGCACACACACAAAAACCAATGCATCCAGCATTCTAGCATTGCTTCTACATCTGGGTGATGAGCAGAGAACAAACGGGGCCAGGTTGCCCTTGCTGGGCGAAGTCTGAGGAGCAGCACCTTTTCCCGACACAGTAGGTGAATAATTCTGTTCAGGTTGCCCCAGAGGCTGCTAGTGTAATGTTACTATCCAAACAATCAACCTGGTAATTGGGTATTGATTATCACGGCCAGAGTCCTTCATGGTCTTGCAAGCTTAAACTGGACATGAAATGTGACACATGAAACGACTGGAGGTCTGGCAATGTTGTGACAACTGCTAGTAACATACCGAAAATTCTTCTTGAAACTTTAGGTTGTTGTTTGTGCAAAGCTCTTCAACATGTTGCAGGAAGGATTTCTTGCTTATCGGCCTCCAAGCAAAGAAAGGTATAAAATGGAGTTATGTTAGGTTCATTTCTTTTCCTTTAGTTTGGACACTGCCTTTATAGTTGACCAGTTAGAGGACAGGACATTTCAAAACCACACAGCCCTTTAAAGGCACTCTGTCATATTTATAAAATTAGCTTTCCCCCTTTGAGTTCATTTTCTCTGTATTTCATGGTACAGAAATCCTTCAAATTTTAAGTGACTTTAAATGAATGATTGCACATTTTAATGAAGAAAGTTTTTCAAGTAAATGTAAGGGCATAAAGTTATCATTGAATCCTAATGCATATAATACCTCTTTGTCATACAGAGAACATTTTATACATTACAAGGTTTTAGAAGATATAAAATATTGCAGTGACCTCATTCTCATAATGACATGGTTTCTAAACCCTAAGGAGTTTAAATATCCCTGTATTACTTCCCAAGCTAAAATACAGACATGCAGGCTTCACCCCAGAGAGAGAGAAAGCATTTCTCCAGTTACCATACAATTAGTCATGCTTTTATGATTTATATCCAGCTTGGAGGTTTTTCTACCAAACATACAAAAAAGGAACCACACATTAAGATTCATCGAATCAGGGAATCTAGAGTCGGTATTCAAAAAGAAGAAAAGATACTTAACAAACTTACTTGATGGATTTTCTATAACTAAGTAACCTGCAACAGAGATTGTGTTAAATGCTTTATGAGTTGAGGGTGGAGCTCTGAGTTCTAGATTAAAATTAGAAAAACATGGTAAATCAGCAATTGTAACATGTTATACCTTTAACTGATATGTGATCATTATTTTAAATTCTACATCATTTTTGAAATTATATTATTTGGACCCAAATATGGCCAAATAATAATTTGGCTTTTCTCTCAAGCTAAGAAGGTAATGTTTTATATTGCTAGGCATTTGGGGCATTACATCAGTACAGGTCACTTTTTAATATATTGCATAGTATTTATTGCCCTAAAAATGTAAATGTGAATTAAACTTTTTTCTTTGTCCATGAAGAATTCTGAATAAAGGAGGGTGATTGTTTGAAAAAATGACATCAAATTGCCTAAATCTTGTTTCCTGAGCGAGTCTTTGTGACTATATAGCCATAAAAAATGACAGTCATTTCAGTTACTTTAGATATACATTTTTGTGACAGTTCATTAGTCAAGTTATTTATACTCTAAAAATTGAAATAATTTTAAACAGCTAAATAGACTGTGCAATGCCCAAATTCAGAGGTGGGCATATCTTTAATAACACATTTGTCATGCACAACAAATTAGCACTGCAAAAAAACACAAAAGGCAGAAGTGTGAAATAAAATGAAGAACATACACCTTTATCAAAGTTTGTAATTTTAAATATCAGGGATAATTTTACTATATTTCTTAAGTGACAAATATAAGAGGATGTGGATTTTGAAGTAAAGGACAAATGAAAAAATAGATGGAAAATGTGGCTTAATAAATACTATGAAAATGTATTTTCATACATATAGGGGTTTGTTCAGTGAAGAAAACATGAGTCAGAGTATATTTTATTACAGTAGAGGAACTGGTGAAAAATACAGGGATGCTGCGGTAAGTGTTATCAAGAAGAACGATGGAGTTCTTCGTTAATGCTGTAGGTGTCTCCAGGCAGAAGGAAGTATCTCTCAGCTCCAAAGGGTATAACCTCGTAGAGCAGCTCACAGTCAGCATGGTATCACAGTGATAAATAGCATTACTAGAGCAAAGACTTCCCTGGCGGCTCAGACGGTAAAGCGTCTGCCTACAATGCGGGAGTTCCCGGTTCAATCCCTGGGTGGGGAAGATCCCCTGGAGAAGGATGGATAATGGAGATGACTGAATGGGATGTTGAATCAGAAAATTCCTTAGTCTGGGGATAGGAAGATGAAGTATATGAATTGGAGGTCCTGACTTCCAACACATGCAGTGGGAACTATTTAGGTGTATAGTGATTTTAAACTGTACCTGGCTAGCTATTAGATTTGGGCGAATATTTGTGTAATTCTTACAAAGTACAGTGCCCTTTTTGGCTTCAAATACCTGTTCCAACAATTACCAGCTATATTATTTTGAGTAAGTTACCTTAACCTTTCTTAGTTTCCAGTTTAGACAGTAGGGCAAATATTTGTAAATCAAGCTCATGTATATAAAATGCTAGGAAATGTCTACCCCTGACTTTGGAAGCAGTATATAAATGTTGTTTGCTATCATTACTATTATAATTGCTAGTTCTAGTTTTATTGTAAAACTCAACTTCTTTCTACAGATCTATTCTACAATTGATACTGATAAAAAGAATGATTTTTTTTTTGTTGTTTCTAAACCGATAAACAAGAGTGAATTTTTTTTTGTTTGTTTCTAAAAGAATATCCTAAATTTTACTCAAAACTGGGAAGACTAGATTGTGCTAAATTAAGCAGGGAGATTTCCTATAATTTATTCTTCCTAATCAGAGTCCCAGAATAAAGAGTAATCAAAAGGTCGGTTTTCTAGTTTTCAATTCAAATTATAAATTAATCTTTAATAGTATAAAGGCTGTAATAATTCTCTTTTCATATTATTATGTGAAAGCATTTCTAATTGTGCCTGTATTTTTTACATTATTCTTTATAGCTACCCCTCACATTACCCTGTTTACACCACAGATATTTTCTATTAGTTTCTCCCATTCCAGGTGTTTTACCACAACTAGATGCTACTGATTGCTTAATAGCTAATTCAGATGTTAACTCCTCTAAGGACTTCACCCTATTCTATTACAGAGAAAATAATTTCCTTCTTCTATGAAACTAAACTTCTATGGACAAATCACTTTCCATCTTCTATCATGGCTATATAAGTACATGTATTAAGGATCCATGCATTGAGGTTCATGTATTACTTGAAGGTAGGGGTGGGGTTAACATTTGGCTTACTGCAAGCCGCTCATAAACTTATTTGTAGTAGACAGTGAATAAATCATTGTTAAATATACAACTGTGGATGAATTTAGACTAAGATACGTAGTAAACTAAATACAAGTGCTCTGATCATTATTTTACTCCACAAAAATATTAATGGACAATTCTCAAGAGATGCTACTCAAAGGCTTAAACAAATATGATCAATAGATGCACCAATAAACAGTATACAAGTCTAAACAAAGCCATATCAAATCCTCTCACAACAGAAGTTAACAGGTGCTAGATACTTAGGAAGTTACATGAACAATAAAATTGCTCTTGTCTACACACTAATTTAGAAAAATAGATTTAATAAAACAAGATCTGTTTTGGCTTTATTTACTTTTCCATTTCACTCCCTTAAACCTGGTCATTTTCACCTTTGTTTTTACATAATGTGAGAAATAAGGCTTCTCATAGTCTGTTTTTATGAAATTTTCCAGTCTGTGCTTATCTCACAGTTACATGTGAGCTGAAATAAATACCTATCTAGATAGCTTAAAATTGGGAAGATATTTTGGCATAAATTACCTGTTTCAAATAACAATTCACTTTTTTTCTTGTTTTTGTGTGTAGTCTCCTTGTCATTGCCTTGATTCTTAGCCTCATATTGAACAAGTGTTTTTCTCAAGTACTGGCTGCATTCTAAATTTTATCTTTCTTTGAAGTTTTAAAGTTTTACTTGTAAACAGGAAAAAATAGTAATTGGACAATTATGCAGGGAAGTGGAAAAGGAGATGGCATATATTATGAAGAAAATGCACTGACTTATTACTGATGAAGAAATTAAATTCCTTTGTGGAAAATTATTTGGTTAGATAAGCATAAAAAACTCACAGAAATTAATGTATATGAAAATCAACAATGTTATTTCAGGAGTGCTTTTCAAATAAAGTGATCTATAGACAGACTCAAAGAGACTCAAAAAAACTTATTAGCATTTTAAAAGAACTTAAAAACTTGTTATATAGAGAGTGTTTTAGACACTTTAGTGAATAAGAGTACTTATTCACTCACAATAGTGAAGGATACTGTCAAATCACATTCATTAGTGTGTAAATCAAATTGGGAATTGTCCAGATTTCAATAAGATAACTGGCCAATTTCTAATATAAAGGGCTAAACACATTTTATTACATGAATCTTAGTTTAAATCCTATGCCCTTTTGTTGAAAAGGGTATTATTTCATGTCTGGGCTCATTTTTTTCAAAGTCTATCAAAAACTTAAATTCCACTCAGATTACTCTTGATAGATCCAGAGAGGAACCATTTATTTATGTTGGCAGTGGTGATTGAAGACCATATTGTCACAGAGACTCAGCTTTCCCTCAAGGTCAATTAGTTGAAATCTATAGGGAATTAAAATATAGTCCAAATAGAGAGCTACAGATGATAGCCTATAGATGGGCAGCTTAAATCAGCATAACCAGTGGCATAGGACAAATGCGAGAAGCTGTGTTTTCTACTTAACCTGTTTTAAGTTAGGTTAAAAGTTTTACTGCCTTTACTATAAAAATATGTATTTCTCACACTAATATGTACTTCATTTTCAATGAAAAATTTTGAAGAATCTCTGGTAAAACATATTAATTGATTTTTCTAAGTTTCATAAAATATTGAGTGTGAGGTGTTTATGTATTTCAATTCATTAATTTTTCCAATGTTCACATTTATTTCTACAGTGACTATGTTACTTATCCAAAGCATTTACTGTAATGCTTTCAAAAGGATCTTAATTTTTGTTTTTTTCTATTGTTTTTATTCGTTATAGGCTTTAGTATTCTTTCAGTCTCATCAAATCACCAATGACTTCTCTCTGGTCTTTAGTGTAAATTAAAAATATTATCCCAACCAATGGCTAGTACGGTACAGCTGACTCTCAAACTTTACTTTATAAGGTAAACATGCCACCTTAATAAGGGAGTAATGTAATTTTTTTATCACAGTATTCACAGACCCTGGCACTTGTAGATGCCCAGTTGATATTTCTTTCATCCAAGAAAGGTGAAATGGACTTTTAGATAAATACAGGGAAAGCAAA